TTTCAGTTTCCTCAAGTCCCTCCCGGGCTTCATGGAGCTTGTCAGCCACTAAGAGAGAAGGGCACTGAGCACCGAACTGCAGGACTCAGTTCAAACATGGACACAGCAGGGAAGAATTAAACAGCACTAGACAAAGGCAGGAAACGCAGCTTAGAACCCACAAGCGCACATGCACAGCAGGACGCTTCGCGCTGTGCGGAACGCCACGGCAAACACGGATTGACAGTAAGGGTCAGGAAAGAGGGGAGAAGGCCAGCCCTCCTGAAAGAAACATGATGACACTTGTCTTCTTTCACTGTTACAGTTAGAACTCCACCCATCTGAATGAGTACTGTCCAGCATTAAAGGAATTTCTCAACGGTCTTCATGGGTCCCAAAGAGAATTATGCAAGGATATTACAATATCGTCTGTAGAAGAAAAAGTAATGATCCAAGGGCCCATCTAAAGGGGAATTAGTATTCTGTACAGCACAGGGAACTACATTCAATATCTTGTAACTTATGGTGAAAAAGAATATGAAAACGAACATATGTATGTTCATGTATGACTGAAGCATTGTTCTGTACCCCAGAAATTGACACAATATTGTAAACTGACTATCTTTCAATAAAAATATATATATTAAGAAAGGGGACTAGTTACATGCATAGAGTCCTTCTATGCAGTCTTCAAAAGACTAGGCTAAGGCTGTAGGTACTAATACAAAAGTACATCCAAAACATATTGGTGGGTTCAAAAAGTGACATGGAGTGTTCTACCTTCACGTGTAGAGTGTGTGCTTCCATTTGTGTGGCATTTACGGAGAGGAATACAGGTTCAAGGAAGCTCGCACATAACACAGACCCCCTCTGGAAGAACACGAAAAACGTGACGGCAGCAGTGGCCTCTAGAGCGGGGAACCGGGTGCGTGAAATCAGGGGTGGTAAAGAGACGTGGGTCATGACACCTCCATTACTATCGTTGGAAACTCGCCGCATCTGGTGAGGGAAAAAATACCTCCATCGTCTATGGGGAAAAGCAGTGTTAACCAATGATAGAAACCACTCATTTCATGTGCCCTCCACCCCAAGTATGCCTGCATAAGCCAATTCTCTACATGCTTAGAAGCAAGGAATGAGATGGGTGGAGAGCAAGGTCCAAATACCACTGGGACGAAGTCAGGAAGTAAAGACGGGGCAAAGGCTCATGTGAGCAGCAGACAAAGTGCTGATCACAAAGGCTGGAGGATGCACTTCCGGTGGGAAGAGAGAGGTTAGGGGGTATGTAGACACTCTGTTGGATAAAACTGATTCACCTAATGAAAAAATGGCTCCCTTTTCACATCTCTTTTTGTTCCTCAGATATAATAAAAGAGGAAGTCTCAGCTGGATACAAGTATGTCTTTCTGAACTCTGGACACTCTCCTGGAGTTTAAATTTGATAACAATGTTTTGACTTAGTTATATTTCTTTTCCCTCGTATCCTTCTTAGAGCAAGGAACTCAGGCTTCACCATTCACAGTCGTGAAACAAAGCTTTCTTCTACAATAAATGTCTTTAACTTTAGTCTTTAAAAATGAACCATTTTCTGTGAAAATATATTAAGTAACACAAGAGGTACAAGGGAGATGTCAAAAACTGTGCATGTGATACACAAACGACTATAGTTTAGGAAGCAGCGACTTGAAAGAAAAATTACCCTCAGCCTAGACTAGAGAAGCCACACGGTTGTGTGATTGTGATTATTGTTGATTTTTTTATTTTCATCCCACTGAACGAGCACTGAATAAAAATGAGGGAGTTTTTTTCAGGAAGCAGCAGTTTCATTCTCACTGCTGACGGTATTTTACGAGAATATCATTAGTTTGCTAGAGCCGATTCTTTGGATGACTAAGAATACTTAGCACCGAAGGTGCAGGCAACAACTCCGAAGGCCTAATTAAAAGGACCGTTCTAGCCCCAGTGCGTAACACTAGCCCTTTTGTTAGCATCCCGTGAGAAGAAACACCTCAACTGAAATCACATTTTCCTACTTTCTCCCTCTCCGGCTCCCACCACTTTTTCATTAGCTAATCCCAATTAGAACACTTTTTTTTTAATAAAGCCATAAATCTCTGCCACTCTCAGTAAGCATAAATTATATAGTAAATAACCGTATTCTGTGTCTGTCCAGGTAAATCAAAACCTTCTTTTTTTGATTTCCAGCTCATGGGACTCAGAGCTGCTAAGTCAACACTCAGGACTTTTGATTTGGGTTTTTCCTCCTCTCCCATCTTTCATTCATCTTAAAAGCAACGCTTCTTTTAGGAAGAAAATTACCACCAGTGAATGACCTTCTCTAAATTTAGCCACTATCAAATCATGCTTTTTCTTCCTATTTGTGAGCAATTTAAGAGAGTGGGAAAAGCCTGATCATTGTGTTAAAATCTACCTCTGCCATTTCCTGGCTGAATGACCTGGGACACACATGCTGGCTCAAACCCAGGTTTGTAGCATTAACTGAGGACACAGAACTCACAGGATTTGTTTCAAAATAAATGAAGAAAGTTCATAGACAAGGCTTAGCACAGGGCCTGGCACAGAGTACGTGCTCATTAATATTAGCTGTCTATACTGAATAAATAAAGGTGGTAGGTTTTTTGTTCCTTTAGTGGTCAGCAACTGCTTAACCCAACATTTCATATGTTAAACTAATTAAAAGAAACATACCTTGTCCTGTGATTGATTTTCAAGCTCATTTATTACTCATTTCTCTCTGGTTTAATCTAATTAAATTGAGCAGCATATCAAATATTGATTTTAATAAAATCTCGATTAAGATTCGAGCAATTATCAAACACAATTTTTCATACGACTCCTGCATTTCAATGGAACCAACCTGAAAACTAATTTGCTTCTAAAATAAAGAAGTGATTTTTACACATATATATACCTCAGGCCATTTTCAGAAAAGAAGAAAAAAGGGCCTCCCTGTCTTTTTATTAGCAAAGATAAGCAGCAATGTCTGACTAGGGTTTTAAAAAGCTTAATCCAGTTAGTCACCTCATTTCCAATCAGTAGTGAAAGGGTGAAAACAAAACAGAATCAAGTCCTTTGATAAACGTTAATTTAGCATCTGCTATGTACAAAGCACTGTCCAACACTGTCCAACACAAGCAGAGGTGAGGAAGAGCTAATCCTGTAGCCTGTTCTAACATGTATGGAAGAATTCTACACACATGAAAGTCTATAGTTTTATTAAGTAATAACCAGAGAAGTATATGTATTCCAATTCTTGAAATTACTCTGTTGTGGAATTTATGTGTATAGGCTCATTCTTAGGAGAACATAAATGGGTTGGTATAAATGATCAATAGTATCATATTAGCAATTAACCATGAGTACAGGACATTTAAGAAGTTAAGTTTTAGTTTGATGGTTTAGTGCTTAAAAACATCTCCAGCCAATCGCTATTGCAGCAGCACCACCTAGAGGATTCTGAGAGGTATCACAGGCCATTTCCCCCTTACTCAGCTTTTCTTCCTATTTAGGCAGAAAGAAAAGGAGCTGCTGCTTTCCAGCTCTTGGGTCACTTAAAGCAATTGAATCCATACCATTTGGCACCTTCTTAAATCTTGAGATTTCCATGGAATATCTACATAAAATTGAATATCCTCAGAATCACAACACCTTTGGGCAGAGGGCTCCAATTTTCTTCCTGGAGGGGGAGGCAGAATTGTGTGTGTCCTGGGACATTGTGACATGAGCCTCAGCTGTCCCTTCCCCAGACACACACCCCCTCCTTATTCTGTCTTGATCCCAGACAGGTAAGCGCCGAAGCCGACTGGATATTTGGTAACATGTCAAAGTCTTCTTCTAGTGTTTATTTAGAGGAGTTGAGAAGAAATCAACTTTCTATTGTTAAAATTGTTTACACCAGCAGATCCACTTACTCATTCCCTTCCACTGGCCAAAGCTAAATCATTGTTCTGGGAGTGGGGTTGGAAGGGAAATGACAAAACATTTCCCATTTTTTATAGTCCTCATTCTCTCTCATTATTTTTTGTAATTTTTCTCCACCAGGAAATGGCTTTGGAGACATATTAAAAGGATTAAAATTTAGATAAGTCAGCTCTTCTAAGAACCAGCACTCTCCTCCTGTTATTTGGTTCAGAATTTCAGCATACTTTTCCGACTCTCAGCTGACTGCAACCTCAAAGGGGAAGGGCAAAAAAGGCACATTAATTTTGGCTGGGGCCAGTGAAGCACCAATGGAGCCTTCGTCTTTGTTGCCACTGGAGGGCGCTGTCTGCCTCAGTGAGGGGACAGATTCACAACTTGCCGGGCAAGGCATCAAAAGTAGAAATCTGAGTTAATCGGCAACTTCCCAACTGCATATATTAAGTCAGGGTTCGTACCTAAACCCACTAATAAAAGGTGGGGGGGGTGTGACTCATTCATCATGATTCTCTTAATTTCAGGTCATTACTTCAACCCAGTTTTCAAAAGAGAACTCTTTTCCCCATTCTCTATGCTAAAGCCATAGTGAGGCTTTAGGTCATACCAAACTGCAATAATCTTAGTTCTCTGAAACATCTTCATTTTCTCACACATACTTTTCCCTCTATCTTGCCTATTCACCAAACGAGCGTCTGATTCTCCTCTGATTCAGCTTAGATATCCCTAATTCCAGGAGCCCTTCCAGGACCCCTCAACTCCAGGTCAAGATGACCTCTTATATGCAACTTGTGCTTCTCCCATGGAGAGACTTGATGTACAGTTTTGTAACTACTTGTTTATCAAGCACATCCCTGCTGGGCTGTAGGTGCTATGACAGCAGGGGATCCTCCTACCTTATTCACAGGCATATTCCCTGCATGCCCAGGGTTCTGGCTCAACCACTCCATCAGTATTTTTGAAGGAAGCATTGCCCGGTGGAAAATGATTTATTTTGGGAAGGACTCCGAGGTTCCATACACTGTCTCCATCTGTTTGCCTTCCAAACACCTGCCTCAGTCCCCACCACTTCACTTCCCTCTTACCTTGTCCTCTTAATCCCTACAGTGGTCAGAAGAAAGGCCCGAGATTCCACAAGGTAAGCTGTTTCTTGCTAATCGAGGCTTAAGTGCAGTTCCACTTGGCAATCTCTTCACCATCTCCAGACTCATTCTAGGATCCACAGACTACCCGTCTCAATCCCCGAGTCAGCTGCAAGAGAAGTGGTCAACCAAAACATTTACAGGAGGGCTCCTTCTGGGATGTCTGGTGTACTAGGTTGAAGCAGCAGTCAAATGGGAGGAAGATGAGACCCCCCCCCCTTTCCAAGCAGATTAACAAAGTCTTCTTGCTTGTATGCAGTTGACATAACAGCACAAAAGGGAGACAGGGCAGATGACTTTGTTTCTGGCTGGACTGCTGACTGCGTCCCTGGAAGGACTACAGTATTTTGGAACCAGGTGACTTGAAGAGTGAAAAACAAGCACTCAAATACAGAGTCAGAGCCATCCTGGGAAGTTCCAGACTGGTATGAAATAAGATTTACCACTCTGGGTTCTTATTCTGTTAACTGGCTTCTTTGTCCTAGAGACTATACCTGCAAGCCCGCCAAACTCAAGGGGTCATTGCAAGGACACATCAAAGTGCTTGGAAAACTATGACCAGCTAACGAAAAATGAGAGATGAGAGATTATTAAGTGTTAATAAAAGGGCCACAGACTTATGATTCACCCAATAGCCATTATCCTTAGTTTTTAAAGGTCTGGAGAGAATACTTCACGGCTTACATCCTCACACAGGTTTAATTAGGAAATAAAACTTAGAGCAAAATTAGCCTAACATACACTAAATGATAATCAGTATATCCTGAGAGTAAGAACCCGGCAGAGACCATTTAGGGTGCAATAAAGGAGAAACAGCATATACATAGCTGTGCTGTTTTGTATTCATATTTATAATCCTGTGGATGGAAATACACATGCAGAGTATGATGAGTAAACATTTTTCAGCCAATTACCTTAGATAAAGCTCACAGTCTTTATTCACTCATAAAAAATGTTTTTTTTAATTACTGGAAACTAGAAAAACATAGGATGAGAATTTCCCAGAACAGACAAAAGATATCAAGCCAGTTTCCAGGCACAACGAATGCTTAGCAGGGTAAACACAAGGAAAACCACACAAAATCAAACTGCAACAGACGAGTGATCTAGTGCCTCCACATCTTCGCTGGCATTTGGTGTTGTCATTATTTTTTATCTTGGTCTTTCCAACGGTAATAGTAATAGTGTAATGCTATCTCGTTGCGGCTTTAATTTGCACTTCCCTAATGGCTAGCGATGTTGAAGATCTTTTTATGTGCTTAGTTGCTATCTATGTACCTTTTTTAGTGGAATGTCTTTTGCCCACTTTTTTAACTGGGTCTCTTGGTTTTTTACTGTTGAGTTTTGCGAGTTCTTTAATTATTTTAGATACTAGTCCTTCAGCAGACGCATTATGTACAAATATTTGCTCCTAGCCCATAGCCTGTTTTTCGTTTTCTCTTAACAGTGTCTTCATAGAGCAAAGTTTTTAACTTTGATGAAGTCTAATTTATCAATTTCTCCTTTTAAGAACTGTGTTCTTGGTGCTAAGTCTAAGAATTCTGTGCATTTCTCAAGGATATAAAGATTTTCTCCTATTTTTTTCCTAAAGTTTGATAGTTTTACATTAAAGTTTGTGATCCACTTTGAGTTAATCTGTGTAAGGTGTGAGCCTTAAGTCAGAGATTTTGTTTGTTTGTTTTAGTTGGTTTGGCTTGGTTGGTTGTTGGCTTAGTTGCTTTGTTTATGTATGTTCAATTTCTCCAGCACCACTTATTGAAAAAACTGTCCTCCCATTGAATCCTCTTACACCTTGGCCAAAAATCAGTTGGGTGTATTTCCATGAGATTATTTCAAGTTTCTCTATTCTGTTACTTTGATCTGCGTGTTGATCCCTCCATCAATAGCACAGTCTTGATCACTGTAGTTACATAGTGGATCTTGAAATTGGGATAGTGATTCCTCCAACTTTATTCTTTTTTTCAAAATTGGTAGAGCTATTGTACTTTATTTGTTGGGATTTGGCAGGAATTGTGTTAATCTTGTACATCAATTTGGAGAGAACTGACATTCCCCCCATTTGTGGAATGGGTATTGAATTCTGTCAAATTCTTTTTTGCATCAACTGATCAATCAATCGTGATTTTTTTTCTTCTTTAACTTGTTAATATAATGGATTACACTGACTGATTTTTGAATGGTGAACCAATCTTGCCGCCCTAGGACAAACTCCACTTGGTAATGATATATAACTCTTTTTATTTGCTAATTCTATTGCTAATATTTTGTTAAGGGTTTTGCACATGCATTCATGAAAGAAATGGGTCCATAGTTTCCTTTTCTTCCTTTTTTCTGTAATGTCTCTGTTTGGTTTTGCTATCAGGGTAATGCTAACTTCATAAAATGAATCAGGAAGTTTCCCCATTTCTATTTTCTGAAAGAGATTGTATATAAATCATGTTAACTAATCTTCAAACATTTTATAAAATTCTCTAGTGAATCTCCATTTCTTTGGGGGAATTTTCAAATTATAAATTCAATGTCTTGAAAAGGTACAGGGCTATTCAAATTATCTATTTCATACTGGGTGAGTTTTTATGGTGGGTGATTTAAAGAATTGGTCCATTTCATCCAAGTTGTAACTGTATATATGCAGAACTGTTCATAGTGTGCCCTTTTTTATCTCTGCAAAGTATGTAGTGGCATTCCATGTTTCAGTCCTGATACTGCTGATATGTGTTTTCTCCCATTTTTGTTTTTGTCCATCTTGCTTCAAGTCTGTCAATTTTATTAGTCTTTTCAAAGAACCAATTCTGTTTGATTTTTCTCTATTGTTTTCCTGTTTTAAATTTTATTGATTTCTGCTATTATCTTTATGATTTACAGTCTTCTGCTTATTTTTGGAATTATGTTCCTCTTTTTCTAGGTTCTTGGTGTGAGAGCTCATGTTATTAATTTAAGATGTTTTGTCTTTTGTAATGTAAGAATTTAGCAATATAAACTCCCCTCTTATCACTGCTTTAGTTGTGTCCCACAATTTCGATATATTATATTTTCATTTTCATTCAGTTCTGTGTATTCTTTTTATTTCCCTTGAGATCTCTGTGACTTGTGCATTATTTAGATATGTGTTGTTTATTTTCCAAGTGTTCGGAGATTTTCCTATTATCTGTCTGTTACCGACTTCTCTCCTGACTCCACTGCAGTTGGAGAGCATACTGTTCGATTTCAATTCTTTTAAATTTGTTGAGGTTTGGCCCAGGATGTGGTCTGTCTTTGTACATGCACTGTGGGCACTTGAAAAGAGTATGTATTCTGCTGCCATTGGTTGAAGTGCTCTAAAACTGGATCCTATTGGTTGATGATGTCAAGTTCTTTATCCCTAGTGATTTTTCTGTGATTCTCCTATCAGTTGTTGAGAAAGAGGTGCTGAAGTCTTCAACTATCATTGCAGATATGCCTGTTAATCCTGTCATTTTTTGCTTTTCATAGTTCACAATTCTGTTGTTTGGTGATTACCTTTTTAGATTTGATATGTCTTCTTCATGGACTGACCATTTTATCATTATATAATGTTGTTTTCTAGATCTGTAATTTTCTTCACCCTGAAGTCTACTTATCTGATATTAATATAACTACTCGCTTTCTTCGATGTTTTCATGATATACCTTTTTCCATCCTTTTATTTTCTACATGCCTATATTATATTTGAAGTCAATTACATATAGACAGCATATAGTTAGGTCATATTTTTTAATCCACCCTGAATCTCTGCCTTTTATTGGTTTATTTTGACTGTTTATATATAATGGAATTATTCATACACTAGCATGGGCAGTCCAGAGTCTCCATGTGGACTTCACTGAAACTGCTGTGGGCAACTAGTTAAGGTCCAGTGGGATGAAAAGTACCAACTGCCTATGCAGCTTTCTCTGACAATACCCTAGTGGTGACTGGGCAGATTAGCGCAAGGTGGGAGAGGAAGTCTATACTCTCCACTTGGCCTTTGCTAGTGTTTAGCTGGAGTAGAGTGGATATTTTCTAAGAGTTTCTATCGTGTTGGCTGGCCCTTTGCTGGTCCTTTGGCTGGAGAGCAGGCATTTGTTGGGTTTTTTTAAATTTCTGTGTCTGTCGGCATTTCTGGGTCACCAGCTTCCTCAGTTCCTGGTCTAGAATATATGAGGCGAAAAGAAAACCCAGGTAACTTACAATCGCATCATTCCTTGAGTCCCGAGGTCCCTGGGCAATCTGCCTGATTTACTCTGTCAAAGTCTTCTTGTGTTTATATATAATTTCCAAGGGTTTTAGTTATATTCAGTGGGACAAACAGGGAAAAGTACATCTAATCCATCTTTCCAAAAGCAGAAATCACTGGTCACATTTTAAAAGAATTCTAACGATCTCTCTTTTCATCAGTATGCTCAGACTATATCCGCTTAATGTAATCGTTCATGTGTTAGAATTTAATTCTACAGTTATGCCATTTGTTACCTGATTGTTCCATTTGTTTTCCTTCCAAACGTTTGCCCCTTTTCTCTTTTATATTATTTGAACAATTTTTAGTATTCCACTTTATCTATTGTACTGTTGCACTGTATCTGTTTGTGTACTTTTTCACTGACTGCTCTAGGGATTACATACCTTACTTTTCACAGTCTACCCATAATCAGTGCTTGAACACTTCAAGCAGAATGTAAGATCCTTACCCTCAGATAGGTCCCTTCAGGCGCCCCGCTTTATGCTATGGTTGTTTTACATATTACATTTACATACTTCAAACAACGTTTTGTTTTCAACTATCAAACGTATTTTGAAGACTCAAGAGAGGAGAAAGTCTATTACAGAGTTCAGCAAGTTTTTTCAGTAGAGTAAGTACTTTAGGCTTTTCAGGCTATACAGTGTGGGAGCAGTGACTGGGAATGGCCACGTGGAAGCTTCTGGAAAGTGTGCAGTGTTCTATTTCTTGGCCTGGTTTGCAGGGGAGGTCACACAGGAGTTTACTTTGTGGTAACTCATTGATTGTACATTTTGTTTTGTGCATCTGACCTTTGTTAATAACTCAACCTAACTTTTTTGTGTGTGCATGTAACTTTATTGTGTTATACCTATCAATGAAAGTAATTTTGAAA